GCTAAATCATTCCTAAGGTAGCTTATAACAGTGCAATTGTCCTGAGAAACTGTCAGGTAGCATCTCAAAGGTGCTTTTTTCAAGAGGCAACTGGACTTTCTGGTTTTGCTTTGAAGATGTTTCACTTCTCATCCAAGAAGCTTCTTCAGCTCTGACTGGATGGTTGGGCATGGAAGGATTTATACCCCTTGTATTTAACCTCCTTGTATTTATACTTCTTCCTACATCCGGCTGTCTGCAAGGAGTATAAATCCTTCCATTCCTCACCATGCAGTCAGAGCTGATGAAGGTTCTTGGATGAGAAGTGAAACATCTTCAAAGCAAAACCAGAAAGTCCAGTTGCCTCTTGAAAAAAGCACCTTTGAGATGCTACCTGACAGTTTCTCAGGACAATTGCACTGTTATAAGCTACCTTAGGAATGATTTAGCTCTCAAGTTTAGGTTCTGTATATCAGCTCAAGGAAACCAAACATTTAAATCATTGAGTATATGCAAAGCTTCTATTGATCTACCGGCTTTATTTCCAACATTTTTCTATAACGATACCTTGGAAACTGAGATTGAACTGGAACTGTCCATGGGGGAACTTAGCTGGGGTGAGGTTGAAGGGATCATTTTGTTCTTTTTCTGCCTCCTTAATATCCGTTTCTGCCTATCCTTAGTCTTTAGTACGAATGTCAACCGTTAATGGCTTAGTTTATGACATCAGTGGTTCATCAGCGAATCAGATTCAATCTTTATTTGAAAACGGCAAGCATCCTAGAATCCGGCAGTTATGTCAGGAAGCAAGTGGAGACTTGCAGGGATTAAAAAATAATAATTACTGTTCCTATTTCCAGAAAAGAAAAAGGGTTTTCCTCTTTTATGTGCACCTCACCTATTGTGAGTAGCTGAAACTAAATTGATGGTTGTGTAGAAAGGGGAGAAATGTCTTCCTCGTTAGGCAAAATATGTCACAAGTTGTTACCTATCTCATTCTTTATATGATATGCAGAATATTAAAAAAAATGGTTCAAATCTCTTTTTATAAAACCTCTTTCATTGGTTACTGGATCCATTAATTGTAGATCACACCTTTCTTGTAGAATGGAGTAATGCAATATTTTAGGTACAGATAATCCGTTATTTGGGACAACAAATCGAAAGCATTTCCATTGCTAAGCAAGGCAGTAAGTTAAGATAAGGGAGTTGTGTCCAATTTTATGATCTTTTTTTGCCATGGCTTTAAGCAAAACTTTGCAGTTGTTAACTAAATGATATTAACACACACAAACGTTGACTCTGCATGTCAAAAATCACTTGGGAAAGTCGTACAACAAGAGTGTGTGATCCTGGGACACTGCAACAATCAGAATAAATCTATGCTGGTTGTTAAGTGCCTGATTTTGATCATGTGATGCGATGTCCATTGTAAATGTGAGAATTGGTCATAGCAGAGGTAGGCTGCTGGGGGTTCTCAGGGATTCAGGAGAACTTCTAGCTAAGATTCTTTGCAGTTCAGAGAACCCCCAAATCCCACTCCTGGCTGGCCCTGCCTACCTCTCCCCTCCCAGGAGTCCCCACGTGGCCCATTTTGGATGCAGGCAAGTGCAGGACACGCATAGAGGCTCGGGGAGGGCCAAAAACAGGCCTATTGGAAGTTCAGGAAGGCCGGAAACGGCCACCAGAAGGCTTCTGGAGCCTGGGGAGGGCTTTTTTGCCCTCCCGGAGGCTCAAAAAAAGCCTCCGGAGCCCGGAGAGGGGAAAAATGCCTTCCCCCCACCCTGTAGTGCAGGAGGCTGACACCCACCATGCCCATGTCCACCCAGCAACCAGGCAAAAAAAAAATTGCTAAAAAAATTTGAAGCCCACCCCTGGTTATATCAATGCCAATGTGATGGTGAACAGCTGCTAAACAAATAGTTGTAAGTTGAGGACCCTCCTGTATTTTAAGACATGGCTGAAAAACGTGTTTCTCTTTCTCATCCTGGGAAAACAGATACTTTCCGATCAGTGTCTCCAAGAGCTCTTATAGTACAAAAATATCTGCTCTCCGCTCCGAAATTTTCCCTGCCATTGTAGAATGTGAAAACCTGGCAACATCAGAGGAAGGGGATTTGACTCAAATCGAAAGGATAATATATGAAGTTTTGGGAAGCAAAGAATCGAAAGAGGAAATTTTGGTTCCAGTGCAGATCACAGACCGAATTTTTTTCGTTGATTTAGCCAACAGGAAATTGAAAACCATCCCATGGCAAGTGTTTGAGCTGGAAGACCTAGAGGAACTACATCTGGAAAGAAATGAAATTTGTTGCATCCCAGGAGCAATAAGTAACCTTAAGAATATACAGGTTCTTTATTTGAATAAGAACAGGCTATCAGAGCTATGCGAGGAACTGGGAGAATTGAAACGTCTCCGAAGCCTGGATCTCAGCAGTAATCCACTTCCTTACAGTGCTCTTACAGTCGTCAGTAAAATGCTGTCCCTTTCTCATCTCAGATTCTATGATTTAAATCTGGATGAATTTCCCGTGGAAATCTGCAAACATCTTCATCACTTGAAGCTGCTGGGACTCTCTAACAACAATCTAAAATGTCTTCCCAATGAAATAGTGAATTTTATCAAACTTCAAGAGCTTTATCTAAAAGAGAATGGATTTGAACATTTTCCCGTGGAACTTTGCCAAC